TGTTATTTTGTTCTCTTGAAATTTTAATTTGGTGGATGTAATTCTTTTACTCTGTTTTGTTTTTATATTTTATTGATTCAACAATATATTGTTTGTAGCAGATTATTATGGTTTTCAATTGATGTTGCTTTCTTCTTCTTTGTTTCGTTCTATTTTGGACATGAAAGTGGAACATCTATTTGATTTTTGATGATTATGAGTTTATGAAGTGAAAGCAAGTTTGTCAAGGTATTATAATCTTTAATGCAAATTGTCTTATGTTTCTTTTTGATATAATTTATACATCTTATTTTCTCCATTTTGGAATACATAAATAGCTAAAATACTGTCACGATCCCAAAACCAACCCGGTCGTGATGACGCTTATCATGGAACTAGGCCAGCCGACACATTTCCAAAGTAGTTCACATTTCATTAAAACTTAAATAGCAACCTTTTTCAACTGAAATTCCCATAAAAATATAAAGTCATATACCAAAATAAATGCGGAAAATAAAAGCCCGACCTCGAGTGTCACTAAGTCATGAGCAATGCTACAAATGTTCCGAAACATAACAAGACCAAAATAGTCTGAAAATAGCCAAAATATACTAGAAGGAAGATAAAGAAGGAGAAAGGCGGAACTGCAATCGCCAGACAGCTACCTCGCTATCTCCGGTGATAACCCGCGACTAGAATAGTCAACAGCCGCTACCGTGCCCTGAGGTACCTGGATATGTGCACAAGGTGCAGGGGGTAACGTGAGTACACCAACTCAGCAAGTAACAAGTCCAACCAATGGACTGATAGGTAGTGACTAACTAAACCTCAGCAACTATAGCATATTTAAATAGTACAGTAAAGTAGGCATGCTGGCAATTCAATTATTCAACTCAATAGTAAAGCAAAATACCAATCCGAACAGTGTGGATTATAAAGCTCAGCAAAACTCTACATGTAAATGCCAGAAATGTATGAAAATGCACTGTGTGCTCCTACTCTCAAGTGCTCAACCAGTCGGTACCACATATGGCCATTCGACCCAAGGAAATCCATCCCGGAATATATACAACACTGACTACAAGTCATCCAGTACCGAGGAAACAAGGGTAATCCAACCCTGAGGAGAAATCCATCTCCAGGTATAAGTACTTCGGACAGATCCATGCCCAGGGAAATCCATCCCTCAATAACATCATCCGCGCTCACTGGGGTGTGTAGACTCCGGAGGGGCTCCTCTCAGCCCAAGAGCTATAAGAAGCTAATGAAAGCATAATCAATAATCTGCTGCGATATGCAGCCCGATCCCATAACTGTCACTCATAATCAGGCTCTTGACCTCACTCAGTCATCACTCTCCAGTCTCACACACACGGGCTCACAGTGATATGAAACTAGCCCGAAACAATGATATGATGTGCCAAATAACAACAACCAAGACTGAGACATGATATGATATGCATGAACAAGACTGAGTACAGAATATCAATGAAACTAATGAGATGCCAGCAAGAAACGACCACTCAGGTCTCAACAGTATCGGCATGAAGCCCTAACATGGTAATTAGCCTGATTTACAGCTTATTAACTTAATCTCATAGTTACAACACAGATATCAACAAGAAAGAGTTACTAAGCGGTGCCATGGAAAGAACCAGGCTACAATTCACATGGTGCACGCAAATTCCCGTCACTTGGAATTTGCGTCACCTCAATACGAATCATATAGCACGATGTTTGGGGTTTCGAACCCTCAGAATCAATTTTAGAAGCATTACTTACCTCGAATCAAGCCAAAACCTACTCCGCTACGCCTTTGCCTCTGGAATCGGTCTCCAAATGCTCCGAACCTAACTAAAATCAGTATATTATCATCAATATACGCCAAAGAAATGAAATCCACACGAAAATTACCAAATTAGACAAAAAATCACGAATTTGGCTCAAACCCGGCACCCGAGCCCACGTCTCGGAATCCGAAAAAAATTACGAAACTAGAAATTCTTTTCACTCCCGAGTCTATATATACCAAAATCACCAAAATCTGACCTCAAATGGTCACTCAAATCCTCAATCAAAACTCTCCAAAACTCAAGCCCTAACCCCTTCAACTTCTCCCCAAATTCCCACTAATTCCATGTTTAAACAGTGGAAAAATCATCACAAACACAAATAATAAAGCCCAAGTAACATACCCAGCTGACAACCTTCAATTCTTCTTGAAAATCACTGCCTTAAGCTCCAAAATCATCAAAAAATGGTGAAGAATGGGCAGAAATTCGCGAAGTGAGGCTTTTATAGTTTCTGCCCAGAAGACTCGCACTTGCGGTACAAATGAGCGCACCTGCGCTACCGCATCTGCGGTCAAACAAGCGCACCTGCGGATTCCACTTATCCGCAAGATTCCGCATTGCGGCTACACACTCGCACCTGCGGCCTCGCTAGTGCGATCAAACCGCCGCACTTGTGGTCAATCTCCAACAGGTCCAAAACCGCATCTGCGGCCTCCCTCTCGCATCTGCGACCTCGCACCTGCGGTCCCCAATCCGCAGGTGCGGAAATAACAGAAGCAGCAACTTCAGCTGCTCAATCCAAGTTCCAATCTTTTCGTTAACCATCCAAATTCATCCCGAGGCCCTCTAGATCTCTACCAAAAGTACCAACAAGTCATATACCACTATTCAAACTTATTCAAACCTTTGGAACACTCCAAACCACATTGAAACACCAAATCAGCCTCAGATTCATGCCTAAGAACTCTTAAACTTCCGAATTCCGCAAACGATGCCGAAACCCGTCAAACCTCGTCCGAATAACCTAAAATTTTGCACACACATCACAAACGACACCATGGATCTACTCCAATTTCCGGAATCCCATTCCGACCCCGATATCAAGATTTCCACTACCGACCGGAAAATACCAAATTTCCAATTTCGTCAATTCAAGCCTAAATCTACCACAGACCTCCAAATTATATTCCGATCACGCTTCTAAGTCCAAAATCACCTAACGGAGCTATCCGAACCATCAAAATTCACATCCGAGATCTTCTACACATAAGTCAACATCTGGTTGACTTTTCCAACTTAAGCTTCTAAATAAGAGTTCCTCCCAATAATATTGCTTACACTCCCGCACGAACTTCTTTTTTTGATAAGCTTCCAATTCGTTGGGGATAAATTCACTAACCAAGAAGTTAGCGATGTAGGCATACCAAGGAGTAAAGGTGCTAGACAATGCCAGTATGTGTTCATCTGGGAAGGAATCATCAATTTCAAGATCTTCTTTTGGTCTCCCTGCCTCTTCAAGCCTAGATAGGTGATCCACAACTTGATTCTGTGTTCCTTTTTGATCTTTGACTTCAAAGTCAAATTCTTGTAACAAAAGAACCCACTTAATCAATCTTGGTTTAGCATCCTTCTTCGCCATAAGGTAGCGAAGAGCAGCATGATTGGTGGAAACTGTCACTTTGGATCCCAACAAATAGGCTCAGAATTTTTCAAAAGCATAGACAATAGCAAGAAGTTCTTGCTCCATCACAGTGTAATTCATTTGTGCGCCATTGAGTGTCTTGCTTGCATAGTAGACAGGATGAAGAATCTTGTTATGCTGTTGACCAAGTATTGCTCCAATGGCTACACCACTAGCGTCACACATGAGTCAAATGGAAGAGACCAATCAGGTGTGACAATAATAGGTGTCGTGGTGAGCCTTGCTTTCAATTCCTCAAAAGCTTTGAGGCATTTCTCATTGAACTCAAACTTCGCATCCTTTTCAAGGAGCTTGCACATGGGACTTGCAATTTTTGAGAAATCTTTGATAAACCGCCTATAAAAACCGGCATGCCCCAAAAAGATCCGAACACCTTTTACCGAAGTGGGAGGAGGAAGCTTGGAAATGATCTCGATCTTCGCCCAATCAACCTCTATCCCTTGTTTGGAGATTTTGTGGCCCAGAACAATACACTCGTCCACCATAAAGTGACATATTTCCCAATTGAGCACAAGGTTTATTTCCTCACATCCTTTGAGCACTTGCCGAAGGTTGTCAAGGCAATGCTTAAAGGAATCACCAACCACAGAAAAGTCATCCATGAACACCTCTAGGAAATCCTCCACCATGTCCGAGAAGATTGACATTATACATCTTTGAAATGTAGCCGGAGCATTGCATAGCCCAAATGGCATCCGTCTAAAAGCAAAAGTTCTATACAGGCATGTGAATGTTGTCTTCTCTTGATCTTCTAAGGCGATGTTGATTTGGTTATAGCCAGAATAACCATCCAAGAAGCAATAAAATAACCTTCCCGCTAGCCGATCAAACATTAGATCAACAAAAGGCATAGGGAAATGGTCCTTGCAACTAGCACTATTGAGCTTCTGGTAGTCCATGCAAACTCTCCACCCGATCACCGTCCTCGTTGGGATGAGCTCATTCTTATCGTTCTGAATGACGGTCATGCTTCCTTTCTTTGGCACACATTGCACCGGACTCACCAGGGACTATTGGCAATGGGGTAGACAACCGCGACATTCAACCATTTAATAGTTGCTTTCTTCACCACCTCTTGCATGGAAGGGTTTAACCTTCTCTGATGCTCCACGCTAGGTTTGCTTTCTTGCTCCAGTTGTATCAGCGAGAATCCCTCGGATGTCCGCTATTGTCCACCCAATGTCTTGTCTGTGCTCCCTCAAGATATTCAACAGTTGTTCAACCTGCACATCATTCAACAAAGAAGAAACGATTACAGGTAAAGTGTCATTAGAGCCAAGAAATTTATACCTTAAGTGCGGTGGAAGTGGCTTGAGCTCAAGTTGTGGCGGCTCGATAATTGAATGCTTAGCGGGAGGAGTGACTCTATTCTCTAAGTCAAGAGAAAGTTTCTTTGGTGCAAAAGTGTAGGACCCATTCCCTTCCAATGCATTCACCAATTCCATGTATCCTTCCATATCTTCACCATCAAAGTTTACCAAAATAGCCGCCAATGCCTCACCAAGGCATTCCTCTTCCATCTTCACCTAGACTGCATCCTCTACCTCATCAACAACATTAATGATTGAGATACTCTTGTATGCACGCGGCAATTTCATACCCTTACTTGCTTGAAAGGTAACCTCTTCATCATTAACTCGGAACTTGATCTTATTTCGTTCCGAATCCATGAGTTCTCTTCCGGTAGCAAGGAATGGTCTCCCTAAGATGATATGGATTTCTTTATAAATAGCACAATCAAGGATAACAAAGTCGTTAGGGAGGAGGAACTTCCCCACTTTCATAAGGACATCATCAACAATTCCCACCGGTCTCTTTATTGAACGGTCGGCCATTTGCATCCTCATATTTGAAGGCATAGGAATATCTAACACCTCTTGCTTGTAAATAGCAAGAGGCATTATGTTTATGCTAGCCCTATTATCACAAAGGGCTCGTGCAAAATTGCGCAACCCAATAGTGCATGGGATGGTGAAAGCTCCCGGCCCCTCTTTCGTTTGGACCGTGGTTGTTACAATGATTGAACTAACCCGGTGAGTCGCATTCACCACTTCATTATTGGTGGTTCTCTTTTTAGTGATTAAGTCCTTCAAATACTTAGCAAAAACCGGCATCTCTTGAAATGCTTCCACAAATGGAATGTTTACCGATAATTGCTTGAGAATGTCATAGAACTTTTCGAGTTTGGTATCATCAACCCTCCTAGAAAGTCTTTGAGGGAAAGGAGGCGAAGGCCTAGGAATTGGTGCTAGTGTTTTTGGTGCCTCTATTACCTTTTCCTTAACCTCCTCATGGTTCACTTCTTGAGTTCTCACCTTCTTCGGGAGTCTTTCAACTTCAACAACAATTGGAACCTCAACTTGTGCCTCAACTTCTTGTTCGGAATCTTCCATTTCAACCACTTGTTCATTCTCTCCTTGAAGTAGTTGGGCCACTCCCACTACCTTTTGGGTTTGCAATTGTGTCACTTAGGGGTGTGCCCTTTTGCTTCGGATTTTGCTCTCTTGAGAGATCTCTCATTTGCATCTCCAACTTTTGAATAGATGCGGTATGAGAGCCCACAAGCTCGGTCATATTCTTTAGTGAAGTGTCAGATCTATCTTGATTTTGCAATACACGTTCAAGCATGTTTTCCAACTTGGACTCACTCGAAGAACTTTCTTTCCAATGTGGAGAGTTTGAATATTGCCCCTTTGGAGGAACATAGGGGTTGGAACTCCGATTTGAAAAATTGTTGTTGTTGTTACTCCAATTTCCTTGATTTGAATTACCTTGTTCATTTTGCCACTGTTGGTTGCCTTGCCCGTGCGGGTTAGGCCTCCATTGGTTTTGTTGTCCTGAACCTTGGTAGGTTTGCCTTTGATGACCTCCTTGAGAGTTGTTGACATAATTTGCTTCCTCGTAATCCTCATTTGACATGGGTTGAACATCTTCCACCACGTTCACCTTTATTGTTTGGCTTTCAGTGAACATCTTTGTCAACACATTGACGTTGGTGACAAGCCCGACAATTACTTGATCTCTTTCTTGGTTCTCCTTAATCATGTTGGTCAAGGAAGGAGTACCAAATAAAATTCCACCTGTGGTGTCCTCTGAGTGCCAAGGATGGTTATGTTTTGCCATTTTGCCAAGGATTTGTGTGATCCTTGCAAATGTTTTATCCATAAAGGATCCATCTGCTGCATTTTTGGCTATGGATTGATTCATAGGATCCAAGCCCATGTAAAATTTCTCCAACAAGATAGTATCCAGAAAACCATGATTCGGAGACCTTACTAAATATAGCTTGAATCAATCCCATGCCTCATGTAGATGCTCTCCTGATAATTGCTTGAAAAAGAAAATTTTATCCTGGAGCTCAGACTTCTTGCTCTGCAGAAACCATTTTGCTAGGAAAGCTCGGACAAGCTCGGGCCAAGTATGAATGGAATTAGGCGGTAGATTTTGGATTCATTGTCTTGCCTCTCTAGTTAGAGAATACTTGAACACCCTCAACCTTAGGTCATCATCTGAAACGTGATTCTGCTTGTGCATCACACACACACCCAATAAATTTCTGTGATGTTGTGTCGGATCATCATCTGTGGAATTTCGAAAAAACCCCTCTGCCTTGAGTATTAGGATTAGACTGTGTTCCACCTTGAAGGTAGCAACATCAACTCTAGGAGAGACAATGGCATTTGTATCCTCAATATACTCATCTATATCAAATATTCTCTTCTTCCGGCCGGCCCATGTTTACCTAGAGACACTAAGCAATGCAAGCAAGGTGTGATGAAATAGAAGAAGACGTAAAGTAAAGCACACATTAATTAGTAATTTCAAAACCATATTCCCCGGCAGCGGCGCAAAAATTTGATACGCTCAAATTATACTTAAATAAATTGTGCAAGGCGGTCGATGTCAAATATAATAACCCAACAAGGTTGGGGTCGAATCCCATAGGGAATAGGTGTGAAAAGGTTACTTGAATAGTGTGAAACTTGACCTAAGTTGTAATTCTACTCCGTTAGCTTAAAAAGAGAATGTTGTAATTGTGAATTAACAAGATAACTATTTTGTTATGAGAGTGTAATAAAGTTGATTAAGAAAACCAAGGTTGTGTCCCCATTAATGGAATATAATGCTATCAGTGTGAATATGATATATTTCTAATGGAAGGTCCTTTGATATACAAATGGTTCCTAAATGACTACCCAATATTTCCCAATAGTTAGGTAGCATTTCCTCTTTATAATTTTCCCAATATAAAAGAGTTGCAATTAAGGACAACTAATTTATGACAAATAAAACCCACTTTTCCTAAGATATTCTATTAAACAAGGTTTGAAGCCTTGAGTTTTGTTATTCAATTCTACCAAACCCTAACCCATTTTTCCAAGTAAAGATAGAGTGAAATGGCATTAGTCAATGTTTGCAACCATCAACATTAATTGAAGCATGAGAAATGAATAAATACCAACCAACCATTATATATGTATTCAAAAGTAAATACCCATTAACATTACACCCATTTAGGGTCCACAGCCTTAGTAGTTAAAGCTAGATACTCGTACTAGAATCCAAGAACAAAGAAATAAATAATGTCATAAAGATTACAAAGATGACAAGATTCTCTTCTTCAATAGCTTCCGAAACAGTAGTGTATTCAAAGCCTCTTTTTCAGACAAGATACCCCCACAAAACCCTAGTTATTCTATTTATAATGGGCTAAAAGTCGGGGTCAAGATGTGACAAAAATATCCCTGCAGATCACATCTGCAGCCGTAGAACACTTTTGCAGTCCGCGAAATCACAATTTCCATCGCAGAATTGAATCTCCAGTTTCCCAGTTCTCCATCGCAGAATCATTCTGCGGTCCGCATATGGATTGCGCGATCTAACTTGATGTCGCAGAACTGCTCTCGTAGAAATTCTCTTTTTAATTCTGCGATCATTAATGCATACGTGTTATGCAACCGCACTACAAAGTCAATTTCCAAATTGCGGCCCCCACATCACTTTTGCGGTCGCAAACCTGCCACATTTCTACCCTTCTATGGATTTTTGTCTTCTTTTCCTTGTTCTTGATTCTTGAAGACTAGGCAAAACACCAAAACTACATAATAATTGACTTAATATGCTTTAAAAGACGAGCTACAACCTATGTAATTAGTATCAAAAGTGCCGCAATTCTACGACACATCATGTACACGGGCTAAATGTGGTAATTGACAGATTTTAGCTACGTAGATTCCTTTCATACCTTTAATTGAGTTGCCATACATGTTATATTCATCATCATTTGTCTATCTTCACATGCTTTACTTGACATTGTTAATACTTGTCTTATATCTTACTTGCTAATTTCATTTACATGCTTAGTTGAAGTTATTGTTGTCTCATTTCTTTATTCATTATTTAACCATTGAGTTCCTTTACTTGAAGTAGTTATTTCTTGGAATATCCGATTGTTGGTTTTTGGTGTTGAAGTTATAAAGGTCGTGATTCACATTGAGGCAAGGTTGTAGATTTGATGAATTACCATTCTTGTTGAGTTATTCACTTTCGGTTGTTATTGTTGAGACTCTTATATATCGTGGCTAAGCCATGGGCTATTTATTGTGGAAACACTATTATTGTTGACTTGTTTGGCAAGTTGTGGTATTGGGCACCTGAGGTGCATTTGTGATATTGATACGCATGCGATGGTATAAGGATCAGGGTTGAAACACATGCGATGAGATAAGGTGGGCTTGATACGCGTGTAGCTAGTAGGGGAACTACTTGAAGCCATGGGTGAGTCGAGCTTGGATCAAAGACTTCAAGGTATACCTTCTGGCATCTGCAGGCCTCGGAGTCACCCTCTATCTAGTTCTATTTCATTCTCCTTTTATTAGATGTTTTGTATAGGGATGTTCAGTATGCTCATGTAGAGCTTATGACTCGGTATCACCGAATTTTGGGAGGTATGTTCAGTTGAGTTGCGGAGTCCTTTTATGATATCTATTGGTCAAATTGAAAGTTTTATTACTATTTCAGTTATTTCTACATGAATGTTAGGCTTACCTTGTCTTAGAGGCTAGGTGTCATCACGATATCCTACAAAAGAAAATTGGAGTCATGACAAATTGGTATTAGAGCTCTAGGTTCATGGGTATTATGAGTCACAAAAACGTTTTGCAGAGTCTCATGGATCAGTACGGAGACATCTGTACTTATCTTCGAGAGGCTAGAAACTGTTAGAAACTTCACTTCTTTGATTCCTTATCATGCAAATTTGAATTTGGAAACTTTGTCTTCTATTCACTCACAGATAGTGAGGACAAGCACCGCTGGATTCGATGATCATCGGCTTGCGTCCCATGCTAGAGCTGCAAGAGGCCAAGGCCAGGGCAGAGGCCGAGGAGTGGCTCGTGGTGCAGCCAGAGCACCTACCCGAGCTGCAACAAAGGAGCCACCGGTAGTTCTAGTAGGGGGCAGGCACTTGAGGCGCCTGTCGCTACCGCTACACTTCAGGAGACCCTCGCACAGTTCTTGAGTATGTTTGGTACTCTAGCTCACGCGGGGTTGATCCCACTAGCACCAGTCGCATCTCTGGCTGGGGGAGGAGCACAAATTCCCGCGGCCCATACCCCAGAGCAGCGGTTTCATGTTAACCAGGTCCTAGTGGTTATACCGGTGCAGCTGGTTGTCCCAGTTCAGCCCGAGGTTAAGGCAACAATATCTGAGGAGGAGCAACTCAGACTTGACAGGTACAAGAAGTACCATCCTCCTACTTTCATCGGCCTAGCTAAAGAGGATGCACAAGGTTTTTTGGAGGTGGTCCATCGTATTCTCTGTACCATGGGTAAATTGGAGACGATCGGGGTTGCTCTCACTACTTTCAAGCTATCGGGACTAGCATTCCAGTGGTGGCGGGCTTATAAGGAGGGTAGCCCAACCGAAGCAGCTCCACTCACATGGGCTCAATTTTTAGAGATTTTCCTAAGAGAATTTCTTCCCTAGAGCCTTCGGGATGCATGGCGCGCAGAGTTTAACAGTTGAGCGAAGGTGTTATGATCGTGTCAGAGTATGTGGTCCGATTTAGTAAGTTGTCCAGACATGCACATGCCATGGTTTCCACAGTTAGAGAGAGAGAGAGAGAGAGAGAGAGAGAGAGAGAGAGAGAGAGAGAGAGAGAGAGAGTCCGTCGATTTATCTAGGGGCTCAACTATGGTATTAGATTCAGCGTGGTTAGAGAGTTGGAGACAGATACTCCATATCAGTAGGTGGTAGAGATCACACGGAGATAGGAGGGTATGCAGGGCCGGGAGAGGAAGGACAGGGAGGCCAAGAGGCCTCGTGATTCTAACGGATATAGTGGTGCTCGTGCCTCAATTGCAGCCCGTCATGGTAGAGGCTATGTGAGCCGTCAAGTTCATTATGAACTTCCAGCTTCTAGTGGTACTCCGGCTACTCCTAGGCCTCGGGTTGCTCCTTATGCACCGCCACTGTCTAGTGTACCTCCTGCACGGGCTGCTTTCAATGGTCAGTCTAGCCGACCAGGCATGAGCCAATTTCAGCAGCCACATCCTCCGAGAGCTTGTATTTAGTTTAGTGATACTCATCATATGGTGAGGGACTGATCCAGACTCAAGAGGGGTGCACCTCCATAGACTAATTAGGCTCCACGTATTCCACAGGGTCCCGATAATTCTCAGGCCATGGTTACCGCACCAGTTTCCGCTCCACCTATACAGCCAGCTAGGGGTGAATGTCTAACTAGTAAGGGTCACCCTAAAGGGGGAGGCTAGACTAGATGTTATGCCTTTCCAGGTTAGACGGAGGCGGTTGCATTAGACGCAGTTATCATAGGTATTTTTCTAGTTTGTCATATAGATTCATCGGTCTTATTTGATCGAGGCTCCACTTATTCATACATGTCATCTTACTTTGCTCCGTATCTGGGTATATCTCATGATTCTTTGAGTTCTCCTATTTATATGTCCACGCTTGTGGGAGATTCTATTGTTGTTGACTGTGTGTATCGGTCGTGTTTAGTTGTTATTTGTGGTTTTAAGACCAAAGTTGATCTATCATTTCTTAGTATGGTAGATTTTGATGTTATTCTGGGCATGGACTTGTTGTCACCCTATCATGCTATTCTTGATTGTAACGACAAGGCGGTGATTGCTATGCCAGGTTTAACACAGTTGGAGTGGAAGGGTACCTTGGATTTCGTTCCTAGTAGGGTTTGTGTC